GAGTGCCAGTCCCATGTGTTTTCTACTTGGCTCCATGAATGGAACCCTAGTCCCTACCTTTGGTTTCTCATGGTCTGGTGGGGTAGGGAGGACAATCGGCAAATTATTAACTATTAACTATTTCTCCAGGCTCCTTCACCACCCAATATTCTATAAGAAAATCCACAAGAAACACCATGAGTGGACAGCTCCCATTGGTGTGATCTCTCTCTACGCACACCCCATAGAGCATGTGGTGAGTAGAGCTCTACTCTCCCCAAAGGTGAAGGACAAATGCCCCCAACCACCCTTCCTAAGTTCTGCTGCAGAGAATTAGACTACGCTGGCCCTTTCTTTCTTCTTCCTATTAAATAGCTGCCATTTATCACTGACCTGCCATAGGCCAGGCTAAATTTCTAACAAGTTATCTCATTTAACCCTCGCAACAGCCTTTTTACTCCTGATTTTGCTAAATGAGGAAGTTGAGGCCCAAATAGTTAATAACTTGTCTCAAGTCACAAAGGTGACTGTCTTCAACAAATTAAAGTCGTGAAACTCTTTCAGCTTCTCCAGATCCGAGTCTGGTACCACCTTAGGGCAAAGTGGACACCCAACTGTGTCCCCTCCCTCTCCCTGGGCCCCACCTTCAATCATCCCTCCTCTTGCAGGCCTCCAACATGCTGCCGGCCATGGCGGGTCCTATAATAATGGGCTCCCATTTATCTTCCATCACCATGTGGTTTTCCTTGGCCCTCATCATCACCACCATCTCCCACTGTGGCTACCACCTACCCTTCCTGCCTTCGCCTGAATTCCATGACTACCACCATCTCAAGTAAGGACCCCTCCATCAGCTTCTAATGTGGACACTGGTGTCTGAATTTAAATGTGGGTGCTAACTGGGGGAGAGGTCTGAGGGTCAGGAAAATAATGGCCCCACTGGGACCACCTTACTCTTTTCCTTTTGTCTGACATTGGGTACAACCGGGGTTTTTTAACCTTTACTTGGGTTCTGGACCCTTTGATATCTGATGTAAGCTATGGACACTCTATTCAGAAAAATGTATATATGCATACAAATCCTACGTGCAATTCCAGGGAATTGTGCACACTCGGAAAGCCCCCAGGCTTTTTCTTTTTGAGACAGAGTCTCACTCTGTTGCCCGGGCTAGAGTGCCGTGGTGTCAGCCTAGCTCACAGCAACCTCAAACTCCTGGCCCAAGTGATCCTCCTGCCTCAGCCTCCCGAGTAGCTGGGACTACAGGCATGCGCCACCATACCCAGCTAATTTTTTCTATATATTTTTAGTTGTCCAACTAATTTCTATGTTTAGTAGAGACAGGATCTCGCTCTTGCTCAGGCTGGGCTCGAACTCCTGAGTTCAAATGATCTATCTGCCTCGGCCTCCCAGAGTGCTAGGATTACAGGAGTGAGCCATCCCTAGGCTTTTTCAAGTGTGGTCTATAAACCACCTAGACCAGGCCAGGCGTGGCGGCTCAAGCCTATAATCCTAGCACTCTGGGAGGCCAAAGCGGGCAGATAGCTCGAGGTCAGGAGTTCGAAACCAGCCTGAGCAAGAGCGAGACCCCCGTCTCTACCATAAATAAAAAGAAATTAATTGGCCAACTAATATATATAGAAAAAACTAGCAGGGCATGGTGGTGCATGCATGTAGTCCCAGCTACTCAGGAGCCTGAGGCAGTAGGATCGCTTGAGCCCAGGAGTTTGAGGTTGCTGTGAGCTAGGCTGACGCCATGGCACTCACTCTAGCCTGGGCAACAAAGTGAAGACTCTGTCTAAAAATAAATAAATAAATAAATAAATAAATAATAAATAAAAATAAACCTCCTAGACCAGATTTAACTGAGATTTTTTGTTTAAAATGCAAGTTCTTCCAGCCTGAGCAAGAGTGAGACCCAATCTCTGCAAAAAAAAAAAAAAAAAAAATAGAAAAAAATTAGCTGGGTTAAGTGGCATGCACATATAGTCTCAGCTACTCAGGAGCAGTGAGGCAGGATCACTGGAGCCCAGGAGTTGTAGGTTGCAGTGAGCTATGATGATGCCACTGTACTCCAGCCTGGGCAACAGACCCTGTCTCAAAAAAAAAAAACTTTCTTAGGCTGCGGCAAGAGGAATGTTTGAACTCAGGAGTTCGAGACCAGCCTGAGCAACAGTGAGATCCCATCTCTACTAAAAATAGAAAAAATTAGCCAGGTGTTATGGTACGTGCCTGTAGTCCCAGCTACTCGGGAGGCTGAGGCAGGAGGATCACTTGAGCCCAGGAGTCTGAGGTTGCTGTAAGCTAGGCTGAGGCCATGACACTCTAGCCCGGGCAACAGAGTGAGACTGTCTTAGAAAAAAAAAAAAGTTTCTTGAGTTCCTCTCCAAATGTGCTGAATCAAAGCATCTGGGAGAGCAGGGCTTAGAAACCTGCATTTCAGTAGTGTTCCAGGGGATTCTGATGCAAGTGCCCTGAACCATACCTGAACAGCCTTAGTTCTGCCACAGGTTCTCAAACTGTGTATCAGGATCACATAGTGAGCTTTTCAAAGGCAGACTCTGGATTTTGCAGGTCTGGAGTGGCCCTGGGAAGGTGCATCTCTAACAATGCATCAGGTTACTCTGATGCTCGTGGTCAGGATGGTGGTGACAGGAGTCGGGGAAGAGGGCTGAGAAATGTGTGAGGGGCCAGCATAAATAAAATGGGTATCCATACAGGGGCCTCCAGCGCGAGCACTGCACCTTCCTCTCTCCTGCAGGTTCACCCAGTGCTATGGGGTGCTGGGGGTGCTAGACCACCTCCATGGGACCGACACCCAGTTCAAGCAGACCAAGGCCTATGAGAGGCACATTCTCCTGCTGGGCTTCACACCGCTGTCTGAGAGCATTCCTGACTCCCCAAAGAAGATGGAGTGAAAGAGCCACCATGCTGTCTGCTCAGCAGCGGATGCAGAGGTGGCCTGAGGCCTCCTGACTGCACCTAACAACCTGCCTTCTTTAGCCACATACTCTCTAATGATGTCACCACTAGGGCAGAGGGAAGGTCAGCTTCCGGGAAAAGGAGGGCCAAGGATGGGGTTAGGGCTTCCCCCAAACTAGTGTCTTTGATGTCCCATCATAGGACCAGGACTTGGTTTAAGGAAAAGGAAAAAACCAGCTCCTCAGAATAGAGGCCAATCACAAGGAGGAAACCACTTTGAAAGGGTTCCCAGGAGCACCCCAGTCCTCTGCTGTGAAAGGGGCGTGGGGTTCCACCCCAGACAACTCCACTGTGGCCTAGGCAAGAAGCAGCGAGTGGCAAAGGTGACAGCGGGACTGGAGGCCACCTGGCTTCAGGGAGAGCTCCTTGTGGTGCCAGGGGGAGGGGGAACCAGATATCACTTTGCCCCTCCTTGTCCCAAAAGCCTTTTCCCGTACCCTACTTGGGACAGGGCCAGGACACCCTCACATATGGTTACAGGCGTCAGTTCTTAACATGCCAGATGCCAGCCACCACTTCCCTATAACACACACATGTACACGCACACGCACAAATCAGTGACCACATTTCAACTCTGCCCCAACACAAATGTCTTCCCTCTCTGGAAAATAAGAAAAAAATCACAGGAGCTCCTCCCTGGACTAAAACTGAGATACCAAAGAAATGCAGACCAAACCCCAAAATCTTTAGGATTATGTGGAAACCAAAGACCAAACCTAAAGAAACTACTAAGCTGAGGGCCCTTTTGCCCACAAAGGAGTCAGAGTTGCTGCCCTCTGGGGACACCCATCTGAGGCCCTTTAGTAGCCTATCTGAATCAGGACCAGAGGTTAGAACCTTCTTTCTCCCCCAACAAAGAGCCCCCAAAAGCATGGCTTAACAAACGGCAAAAATCCCTTTTTCCCCAAATGGCTTACCATCTTTCTCAACACCATTTATTCAGTGATTTCACCAGGAACCTTATTATCTACAACAAAACCACAGCCTGGCACTGTGGCATGTGCCTGCAGTCGCAGCTACTTTGGAGGCTGAAGCGGGAGGACCACTTGAGCTTAGGAGAGTTGGAGACCAGCCTAACAAAACGGCGAGACACCGTCTTAAAAAAAATAAAACCAACAATACAACAAAACCACAGAGCTGCCTAGGTTGAAGTGGTCCCTGTTCTGGCCTCCCTTCTGCAGCCAGACATGGCCAGGAACCCTGTTGCTCCCCAAAACAATTTGAAGACCACTCTTGGATTTGAAAGACCATTTACTAAATTTTTATATGCTTTGTGCTTATTTCTAGCTTTCAGTTTTCTTCTGTTAAGAAAACCACTTGCTGTGGCTTTAACATCTGATAGGGCCAAGTCTCCAGGCAGGATTGTCAAAAAAGACTTCTTCCCATCAGCCCTAGGAACCCAGAGGACTTGCCAGGTAGGCCAACAGAGCACTCATCAGGCACATCCCTCTGGCCTTGGTGGGCCCAGCTCCTTCCCTAGGATGGTTTGTGACCTTAGCTTCAAGTTCACCTTCTGATGCATCAAAGCCTACGTTCTCACAGCTGATGGCCTGCACCCATCACCTGTTTCTACAAATAAAGATTTGGAAAAGTCTATCTTCAGTATACTTATGAATGGTAGGATATAAGGAAAAAGTGGGTAAAAAGAGATGTGTTTTTCTCCCTTTAAGTTCTTGGATTTTAAAGTACTTGGGAACCTGAGGCCTTGGGACCACATGTAGCCTTCTGGATTCTTTTGGCTAAATCCAATGTATTTGTTGGACTGGTATCTCTCCCTTTTATGGCTATAGCCATGGTTCCCATATCTCACCTAAGACATGAGGTGGAATTCAAAGCAGGAAGAAGCTCTATAGGCCACCAAGAAAGTCATCTGTCTTAGAAGCTGTGTGAGAAGCCCCCGCCTTAAACTCCCACAGAGCCAATGGGAGAGCAGCATATGCACATCCAGAATGCAGTGTTCTCTGGGGTCTGGAAAAACCCTAACACTGGGATCCATCCCTCACACCCAACAGCAGTACCCCAGATGGGACATCAGCCAGTATTTTGCCTTTTCAAGTTTTTATTTTTATACATTTTTTTTGTATTAAAAAGAAAAGCATAATTACCACAAATTACAAAGGACTAAAGCAGGACTAGAATAATGAATGAATCACTTCAGCCTGGAAAGCAAATACTCTCAATAATATTAATGTTATAATACAAGCTCATTCAAGTATTTTACATTTTTTTTTGTCCTTTTAAATGTGATATCCTAGCACATGGTAAAGATAATGTACTACGAGCGTAAGGTGGAACCTTCTCCGCAAAGCCAGATGACAAGTTTTCCTCTCCAGTGAGAAATGGGCTGTAAGTTCTTATCTTCTGTGCCATCAACATGGCTGAAGGAGGAGAGGGTGGGGGCTGGGGAAAATCCAGGGACCTTTCCACACAGGAGCTACTTTGGGGTCCCATTCAGGAGGGTGCCAGATAATCCAGATCACTCTACCCAAGGCATTTGGCAAAAAACCCTCACCCTCCCTAACTAGTTGTCTTCCTTACCCCTCTCCTCCCCACTTTCAGGGCCTTCTGAGCAGCTTTCTTTCTTTTATAAAAATCAATTGTCAGGAAAGGGGGGAAAAAGAGCTACAATGGAACAAAACAGAAACATTAACAACTTTGACATGGGGGATCACACCTCTACCTGAGCCCCAGGGGTCCAGGCTGGGGCAGGGCCGCATGGCCCTTCTCTACTGGTAGTGCGTTTGCTCCTAGGCGCAGGAGAGGGCGAAAGAGAAACCTGCCCCTCAACAGGGCTGAGGCACACAGACCTTCTGATGTTTGATGCCCACAGGTTGTGTTGGCATGGACCAACCTTGGGAGGGTACAGAGGGAAGAGGGGTTCGGGCAGGCTGTTGCTTTGTCTCAGGTCTTAGATCCCCATGGGAGGATGGTGGGTGTGAAGTGGCTAGCCCTGATGGCTCCTGCCACTCCTGGCATGCTTGTCACAGATACATCGGTCCTAAATTCAAGTGTCTTCAGAAAGTGAAGATGTAAACTACTCTTTGCAACATTAACTCCTAACATGTTACAAAAAAAAAAAAAAAAAAAGTCCCCTCCACCAGCCTATGTTGAGATGAAGTCCTCACCTCCCTGCCCCAAAGGGGCTTCCTCTTTCAGGGTTGTTTGTGGAGAGGATGGCAGCCCCCTGGCCTGGGAGTAAACTTTAGATAAGAACAGCCTTTCCCCACACCCCCAAGCCTTCCCTGTGCCCCCAAACCCAGCAGAGGACAAACACTGAGGTTTCTATGGTGCTGGATACAGTACAGGGCTGAGTGACCTGAAGGAAAGAAAGGGGGAATAAAGGGAGGAGGAAGGGGTCCAGGAGTCCAGTGTCTGGTACAGCGTGGGGCAGGCACCAGACTGGTAAGGGAAAGGCCTCAGAACCCACTGTCATAGCAGATACCAGACGCTCATCACTGGTTCGAGACGAATGGGTCACAGGAACTGAGATGGGCTTCCCACACACAAACCACTGGGAGGGCAAAGATGGGGAAAGGGCACAGGCTGAAAGCAACAAGGTGCCCAAGACAGAGGGCAAACCCTTGTCAGCCTGGGATACTGTCTCCTACTCCCAACCTTTGGGACCAACAGAGGAACCAGTTGAAAAGGAGGGCCAAAGTTTCAGTAATTGAGCAAGGAGACCACAAACTTCTCTGTGTTGCCCCGTTCCCACTGAGAGTGAACACACAGTTATGCCCATACCCGACACACATCCCAGTCTGTGTGGGTCAGTCCTTCATCATCCTCCCTGGCTTCTGACGACAGCAGACTCCAGCCATTCCATTGTCATTCACAGCCCAACCCAAGCAGTCAGTGGCTGAAGAAGAGAAGTCAGGTATACTCTATGTCCACATATACCTTCCTGCCACAGGGCTTCACCAGCTGGCAGGATCCCCCCAGCCCCCAACTCCTCCTCATCCCTTGTTCCCAGGCAGGGTCAGTTGGAGGGTGGGCAGAGATAGATGGCTTACATAGGGGGGATGCAAGATGGGGAGACCCCACCAGACCCTAGGAGGAGAACGGCGTCTTTCTCCACCTTTTAAGAGAGATATAGCCTTCTTGAGGTCTCAGAGATCTTTCAGGACAACACAAGGAACATTTCCAAGCCTCAGCTGCCAGATGTTCACCTTTCGCCCCTGGGGTGGAGGAGAAGTTCAAGCTGAGGAAAAAGTGTGTTCCAGATCCAGGCCAACTCTGTTCTCCAACAGTTTGAAGCAAACTTAGCCTTGGCGTTCCAAGAGTAGGATGAAGGGTGTCACGGCAGGACAGGGCCTGGCGTGAGGCAACAGCAAGCAGAGCGAGGACATGACAGTGGCAGCGTGTATAGACACAGGACATCAGCTTCAAACGATGCAACAGCAGGAATATTTTGGGCACAGCTCTGATATGAGCCACCCCCGACTCTCTTGCCTCCAGGCAGGAGGCACTGTACATGCAACTCAGTCCAGAGAAAGATTCTAGCCAGTCCAAGCCCAGGCACATCCAGAGAAGGTGGGAGCTCTTCAGGTTGACTCCACCGAGGAAAACAGGCATTTGGGTATTTCAGATTCCTGTTCCACAATAAGGCAACTTTTAAAAAAATATTATTTCCAACAACAAAACAAAAATTCCAAGGAGAGGGGAAAGACATCACTCTCTGTGGATTAGGTGAGGGTTTTCCGATTTTTTTTTTTCAGTCTTTTATGGTCAATTTTGTCTTTTTTTTTTTTTTTTTTCCATTTTCCCAAGGATGGAAAGGTCAGAGAAAAATAAAATAAATCATCTTTCAATAGTCTTTTCTGGTATGAGCAGCGTCTTTCTGGGCTGGGGAGTAAAGGGCATGGGGAGAGGAGAGTTGGGAGAGGCTGAAACCTTCCCCAAACCCCCACTTTTAGATCCTTTGGTTTCCTTCTCCCAGAAGATGGCAGAAGGGCATGGTGGGGACAGCAGGGAGAGAACATGGTGACGACAAACCCCAGATGACCAAGGGGCTGGTGCTCCTGGGGCCTAGGAGCACTGCTGGAGCCTCCCGTGGGACAGTGCTAGACAATGGGGCCCGCAGGGCCTTCTTGTGGGCTGCATAGTTGGCTTGAGGGGGAGCAGGAGGAGACCGTGGGTGGGGATCAGGATTGCGGCCTACCAGCCGCGGGCAGGGCTGCCAAGTGATTTTGGTAATCCAGACGAACTATCAATAATTTAAAACTTGATATATATATATGTATATATATATATAAAAAAAAAATTCCCCCCTCACCCTCCCCCCTGAGAGAAAGCTAGGATATGCAGAGTCATGGAGAGAGGAGGGGGAAGGGGATACGTGGAGGATCCTGGCCAGGGGTACCTCTCATAGCCCAAATGGTATACACACATTGCTACTCAGCACAAAGGCCTGTCCTAATAACTCCAGGCCTGTCCCTTTTCTGTCCCCTCTCCTGGGACTAGGCACCCCCATGGATTCTTGCCCATCCCACCCCTTTCCCCCCTCAAACCCCAGGGCTAAGGGGCTTTTCACTTTCCCAAAGTCTGTGTGTCCGAGTGCTGGCTTGTCCATTTGGCATCTTCTCGGATGGGCTGGCCGGTGGGTGGGGTAGGGGGTTGGTTGACAATGTTCGCAGGCCTGCTGGAAGACTGGGAGGGGCACCGCTTCCTGCCCTCACCGCCACCTCCTGTTACCACTGAGTGTCGCTTGTGGTTGCCCTCCTCACCCATGGGGGGCTGCAATAGAAGAGGGAGTCACAGGTGATTGGGGGTACTATCCACAACCCTTCCTTGCCAGGCCTGTCTAGATACCTCCTACTCTCTACCTACAAATGCAGACAATAAATGGGTTTAACCTTAAAAATGAATTACGAGTTATTAAGCATTTCTCCATGCCAAGTACTATGCTCTTTTATGCACATTCTCTCATGGAGTCCATACCACCCCCATGTGATGTAGACATATCATCCAATTTCACCAATGAGGAAGCTGAAAGCACAAAAAAATAATTTGCCCAGGGTCTCACAGTCTCACAGGTAATTGGTAAAGACAAAATTTAGGTTCAACTTCTCCCAAAGGCCAGGCTTTTATCCATACAACTTTCTGCCCTCCTTCTGAGAAGGGATCTCTTGCTGAGGAATGCAGAATGTGGCATGCAGTGGGCTGAGACGTCTCAGCTCAGAAGGCCCGAATGTTCTCGGCATCATCTCATTCCTCTCAAGGCCCCAACAGTACAATGAGCAAAAGACTCAAACTATGATCCAGTTTGAGCCTACCACTACCAAAGGTCTTGTAACACCAAAGACCTTTCTTTCCATTTTGGGAGACCAAAGCTGAGCCCTTCTTGTTCCATCTTAACAGCTCCACAAGGGTTCTCTGAAATTGTACCTTCCCTCCTCCCCAAGGGTGGAAAGTGCCTAAACATGAAAGAAAACAGAATTTGTTTTTATACTGGGAGACCTGAGCAGCTCTGCCACTATCTCTCATTGGGTGGCCATAAGCCTCAGTTTACACTATAGTAATGATAATGACAAGCCCTGCCTACGTCACATAAAGGTTAGATAAGGTCAATGTAAAGTGTCTGGCACATAATAAACACTCAATAAATGGCAGCTTTTAAATAATAAATGTGAGGACTATTATTGCCATCAACTTGTATATGCCTTCTAGCTAAAAGGTTTGAGGGGAATAAGATGACTAGTGGCAATCTCTACTACATTACAAACTCTTTCACTCATCTCTGGAGTCCCTGAAGCAACTAGCACAGGGACACCTAATCAGTATCTGCTGAATCAATTAAATTATTCCAACTACCACTTCCCATGATACACCCAGTAGCAATAACCCAGACCCACCACTGGATGTCACTGTTGAGGCATTGTTCCAAGAAAGCAGTAGACTGGAGAACTAGATGTTAATTTATAAATGAGGGGCTGGAACTGGCCTTTTCCAGAAAAAGCAAATACATTTATCTTTACCTATCCTGATCAAATAGTAGTGGCTAACTGGGGCACAGCAGCAAGGAGGGTTGTGAGATAAGGGGAAGAGCATTATGGTGGTTTGGCAATGTCTGCCACAGGAAGGGGAGACAGGAGCAACAATACAACTACCTCCCGTTAGCCTTCGCTGCCATTTCTTACCCTCCATTTCAGAGATGAAGAAGCTAAGGCCCAAACTGTGGGAGGCACGGAGAAGGATCCCTGGGCTAGTGGCATAACTGGGACCAGAATTCAGGTATCCTGATTCCTGTTCCAGTTTTCTTTCCTGGACAACTAGGATTAGAAAGAGAAACTCACATCTACTCGGAAGTCTTCAAGACGTCGGAATTTGCCGAGGTATTCTTGCAGTTTGGGGTCAATGTCCAAATTTTTGGCTTTGGAATATTTCAAGAAGGCCCAGAACTTCTCTAGCCCATAGAGCTGACCTGTAGGGAGAAAGGAGAGAGAGGTAGAGAGAAGTTGGACTGCTGAGATGAGGATAAAGAGGTTCAGAGGAGAGGGGGGTGTGGTAATGATACACAGAAGGACTCAGGTCAATCTGGGGAGACAGGAAGGCCTAGATGACCAGGTCTTGTGGAAGCCAACGTTGGCTCTTACCAGCTTCATAGTCCTTCACGGTTTCCTCCTGAAAATCCTTGAATATATCTACCCGGAATTTCTTTTCCAGGCCATAACTGTAGTATCGAAAAAGGCACTCTAAACCATATCTGTAGGAGAACACAAGCCAGAAATCAGAGCACAGTTTCTTCATGTTTATGCATGTGCCTGCATAATAGTGGAACTATGAAAACAGTTTAAAACAACACATTACTCCTATATTGAAAAAATGGCGGCTGGGCGAGGTGGCTCACGCCTGTAATCCTAGTATTCTGGGAGGCCGAGGCAGGCGGATTACTAGAGGTCAGGAGTTAAAAACCAGCCTGAGTAAGAGTGAGAGCCCGTCTCTACTACAAATAGAAAAAAATTAATTGGCCAACTAAAAATATATAGAAAAAATTAGCCGGGCATGGTGGCGCATGCCTGTAGTCCCAGCTACTCGGAAGGCTGAGGCAGGAAGATCACTTGAGCCCAGGAGTTTGAGGTTGCTGTGAGCTAGGCTGACGCCACGGCACTCACTCTAGCCTGGGCAAGAAAGCAAGACTCTGTCTCGAAAAGAAAAGGAAGGAAAAGGAAAAGGAAAGGAAAAAGAAAAGGAAAAGGAAAAGGAAAAGAAAAGAAAAATATGGCAAATATACTTTAAGAAAGCTAACACTTAATTCGAGTCTAAATGGGTCCAGCATTAAATGTTCAGTTTGCCAGGGGTCAGCAAACTCTGCCCCCTGCCCACACCCATCTGTTTATTCTTATTCATTTACATAGTGTCTATGGCTGCTTTCTGCTACAAGAGCAGAGTTGAGTAATTGCAACAGAGACCTTAAAGCCCATAAAGCCTAAAATATTTACTATCTGTACCTTTTCAGAAAAAATTTGCCAATCCCTGGTATAAGCTCTTTAAAAAGCCATTTGACCATGCCAATTAGTAGGTTTGTTCATTTTTCTGACTTAGTAATTTCACTTCTAGGAACATATGCCAAGAAAATGGCCAAAAATGCAGATTTAAATCTTACAGATGTACAAAACTGTTTATAGCAGCATTATTAAGTAAAATATAAATGTCTAAGAATAGAGAAGCAGTTAAGAAAAATCATGCTCAATCCATACAATGGAATAGTATAGACTAGGTAAAAGCATAACGTAATGTACACTTAGGGATACTGAAAGATGCTTTCAATATATTATGAAGTGGAAAAAAGATGCCTGAAAGCGCTGTATATAGAACAATTCCATTTTTGTAAACAAATATGTAAATTGTACAACTAACTCATACATGCAGGGTCTGGAAGGGCACAAACTTAAAGGGCATGCATAGGACAATCTCAACACATTAAATATGCCAAGAAGAGCTGGGAAGTGTTGATGACAGAACATCAACACTTGCTGTCTCTGAAGGAAGTTTTCTCTAGCTTTTTCAATTATATCTGGACTTTTCAAAAATTGCTTACAGAGAGCACATTTTACTTTGAAAATTGGAGGAAGGGAAGGACTCTTAAAAAGGTTTTTTTAATAGCAAAATATTGGTAACAACCTAAGTATCTATTAATAAATGGAGACTGACTAAATAAATCAGGATATATCCATATAGAGTACGATTGTGTTATAGGCTATAAAAAAGAACAAGAAAAATATTCATGTATGGATACGGAATGATTTCCAATATACATTAAGCTAAAAAAAAAGGAGAGTACAAAAGAATTTATAACGTAGACCATCTATAGCATAAACAAAAAGAGTGGTAAAGGAGTGGGAGAATACACAGACTTGTACTGGCTCACGAAGATATAATGTATTTTATCACATTGACTGCCACACTAGAAAAACATATATTTTTCCTTGGGGCCATGGTGTTTTATTACAAAAATAGAATGAAAACTTCAAAAACAAAACGATCCTTTTTAATTTAATGAAAAATTTGTTATTTTTTATTGTTTTCTGTGCATGAGTTACTTATGTTTCACGAGGCCTGGGATCAAATACAACTCACATGGCAGTTACTGTGTTAAAAAAAGGAACAAGATTCTAACAATAATGGTTTCCTGTACAGAAAGAAACTAGATGACAGAAGAACAGAAATGAGAAGATGACTTTTCCCTATATAATCTTTTAAATTTGAACCATGTATATGTATTACTCATTTAAAAATAATAAAATTTTCATAAAATATAAGAACTACATACACAGGCAAGGGATTTCCAATTACAATTTTGGAAGGAGACCCTTTAAGGACCTCTTACCATGTCCAAGCACCCACCAGAGCCCATCTCCTGCTCACCTGTAGCCTTCTTTGGCATCCTCCAGAGCCAGCTGCTTGAACTCCTCATACATCTTCTTGTTGAAGTGATCGCGCAGGAAGAAGGACCAGAAGCGGAAAAGAGTGTTCATCTCCTGAGACTGGCCAATGCCCAAGCGTTTCCGCTCTGATGGGGAAGGAAGGAAGAAAGACATGCCTCAGGGTCAGGCTGCCCTTACTACAGGGACAAAGGATTCCGGAACCTAAGGATTTGGTCCTTTTCTTTTATCTCAAATTCCCTTGCTCTTCATCTACTACTACGTCAGTCACTCGGCAGTTATGTATCAACAACCACTAACTACTCTCTGTTAGGCCCTGCACCTCACCAGAAGCAGGTACCATCAGCTTCTGAATCATGTCATCAGTTTAGCCCTTCACCTCAACCGGCATCGCTTTTAAGTGTAGTCACAAGAAGGCAAAGCATGAACAAACAGTTTGTAAACTTTAACAAAATATAGTCTGCTCATTACCAATAATTATCTCAGGAGTCCTACAATATTGACAACTACAAAATAGTAACAACAAAAAATAATACCCAACAACAAAAGCGTAAGCAACAAAATATATAGATAAGATGGATACCATTAAAATTAAAAACTTCTTGCATCCAAAAAGTGATGTGGCAGGCTGAGGTCGGAGGATTGCTTAAGGTCAGGAGTCCGAGACTAGCCAGAGCAAGAGTGAGACTTATCTCTACTAAAAAATAGAAAAATTGGACCAGACATGATGGCATGTGCCTATAGTCCCAACTACTCAGGAGACTGAAGCAGCAGGATGAGCCTGAGCCCAGGAGTTTGAGGTTGCTAGGAGAGTTAGGCTCACATCATGGCACTCTTGCCCGTGACAGAGAAAGACTGCCTCAAAAAAAAAAAGGGAAATAGGCCGGGCGCGGTGGCTCACACCTATAATCCTAGCACTCTGGGAGGTTGAGGCGGGTGGACTGCTCGAGGTCAGGAGTTCGAAACCAGCCCAAGCAAGAGTGAGACCCCCGTCTCTACTATAAATAGAAAGAAATTAATTGGCCAACTAATATATATAGAAAAAATCAGCCGGGCATGGTGGCGCATGCCTGTAGTCCCAGCTACTCAGGAGGCTGAGGCAGAAGGATTGCTTGAGCCCAGGAGACTGAGGTTGCTGTGAGCCAGGCTGACCCCATGGCACTCACTCTAGCCTGGGCAACAAAGCGAGACTCTGTCTCAGGAAAAAAAAAAAAGGGAAACAACAGTCCATAGAATGAGAGATAAAAAATACTTGCATCTCATATCTGATAAAGCACTTGTGTCTAGCATATATAAAGAACTTCTGAACTTAATAATTAGACAAATAACTTAAAAAAGCTTAAAAAAGGATCTAAACAGACATTTCTCCACAGAAGATGTATAAATAGCCAGTAAGAATAGGGAAAAAATGCTCAACATCATTAGCTATCAAGGAAATGCAAATCAAAACTATAAGGAGATACTGCTTCACATGCAGTAGGATAACTATAATAAAACAAAAACAAGTGTTAGGAGGATGTGGAGAAATTAGAAGCCTCATACAACTGTGACTGCTGTTAGGAATAGATGCCTTCACTTTGGAAAACAGCCTAGAAGTTCCTCAAAAGGTTTTAAAAAGGTTAACCATTAGTTACCACATGACAGAGCAATGCTACTCTTCTACCCAAGATAAATGAAAACCTAAATCCATAGGAAACTTATACATGCAGAGTAGCATTATTCGTGACAGACAAAAAGTAGAAACAACTTAAACATTCCTCATGACAGATGGATAAGCAAAATGTGATTTATCCATACAATGGAATATGACTTGGCAACATAAAGAATGGAGTGCTGACACATGCCGCAACATGGATGAACCTTTTCATAAACTCAGGGAAAGAAGCCAGTCACAAAGGACCATATATATACAGTAGGATTCCATTTATGTGAAATGTCCAGAATAGGCAAATCCATAGAGACAAAAAGTAGACTGGTAATTCTGTGCAGCGCGATGGCGGTGGCGCATGTGTAATGGGGAGTGACTGGTAAGGAGGACAGGGTTTCTTTTTAGAGAAAAATGTTCTAAAATTGGTTCTAATGATGGACACACAACTCTGAATATACAAAAGCCATTGTACTGTACACTTTAAATAGGTGAATTACATGGTATGTGAATTCTATTTCAAATAGAAGTTATTAAACAGAATACACAGAGTAAGGAAGAGGGAAGCAAGACATGAACCAAGAATTTAGCAGCCATATATTGCTGAATGAAAGGGAGTGGGTGGGTAAACTACAAGTAAGTCATTAGATTGGTTCTCCGTCACAGATTCTTTTCCCCCTAGAACCCCTTAAAAATGTAAAAAAAAAAAAAAAAAGCCCTGAGCTTCAGGGTACGAAAACAGACCACCACTGGCTGGATTTGGCCCACAAGCCAGTTTGGCAACACCTGTTCTAGAGAACACATGCATTTCTGATGTGTTTGCAAACACATTGAAAACAGATGGAAAGTCCATTCCTTTTGTAATGGACTGTGGACCACACTGGACAATGGCTGAATTAGCAATCTTGCCAGAGGCACAAAAACACTTAATTGACTTTTCTTTTTTATAACAGAGGAAGATCAAGGAATAGGAATGTTCTGTGTGCCACGATCTCTTAGCTTCTTGCATTTCAAAACTATCTGGTGGCCCTAGCCTACCTTCAATCCTCTTGCTGTAACATCATGCCACTTTTTGCTCTGAAGTCAGAGGAAACAGTCACCTGTGCTGACCCCCCTACCCCAACTTTACACACTCTGGATCTAAGTGATGGCCCCAGAGGCTCAGTCCTCGCCCCCTGCACTTCTTACCATTAAGGCAGCGCCTACGATACTTGTGGTAGACATGTTGTGTGAAGCCATTTTCCTTGAGCAGCTCATGGGAAGGATGCTGAAACTTGGGCAGTGACTGAGGTGTACAGCCATAGCTGCCAACTGCAGGCGTCCCTTCTGAAGGGCTGGAGCTACAGAGGTCATGAGAGAGAGTGAGTGTCACCGGTCACTAGGCTCTCCACAGCAGTCCCATCATAAAGCCAGGAGGAGTCACTCTGATCCCTTCTATCAGCCAAGATCAGCCTCTCACAGAGCACCAGACAACAAGGCTCAGGTACTGTGCTGAGCTGAGCCCTTAACTTACATCTGTGGGTCTGAGTAACTCTGCATCAACCCTCAGAGGATTTTACAAAGAGGTCACCGAGGCTCAGAGATTGGGAGACTATTTAATGAGCTATTTAATGACAGAAATCTGTCCAACACCAAAACCTGTGCTTTTACTCATTAATTTATGTAATTTTTTTTTTTTTTTTGAGTCAGAGTCTCATTGTTGCCCCAGCTAGAGTGCCGTGGTAGCCGTGGCATCAGCCTAGCTCACAGCAACCTCAAATTCCTGGGCTCAAGCAATCCTTCCGCCTCAGCCTCCTGAGTAGCTGGGATTACAGGCATGTGCCACCATGCCCAGCTAATTTTTTCTATATATATTTTTAGTTGGGCAATTAATTTCTTTCTATTTTTAGTAGAGATGGGGTCTCACTCTTGCTCAGGCTGGTTTTGAACTCCTGACCTTGAGTGATCCACCCGCCTCGGCTCCCAGAGTGCTAGGATTACAGGCGTGAATCAATGCACCCCGCCTCTAATCTTTTTTTTTAAGAGATGGGGTCTTGCTCTGTCACCCAGACTGGAGTGCAGTAGCATACTTGTAGCTCACTGCAGCCTTGAACTCCTGGGCTCAAATGATCCTCCTGCCTCAGCCTCCCAAGTATACAGAAATTTTAACATTTAACTTTACTTAATGAGCCATCATGTCAATCCATCCACAGCTGACCCTTGAACAACACAGATTTGAACTACATGGGTCCACGTATATGAGGATTTTTCTTCTGCCTCTGCCACCCCAAGACTACAAGACCAATCCCTTCTCTTCCTTAGCCAACTCAATGTGAAGGCAAACAAGATGAAGACTTTATGATGATCCAATTCCACTCAAGGAATAGTAAATATAGCTCTTATGATTTTCATAATAACATTTTCTTTTCTCTAGTTTACTCTATCGTAGGAATATAATACATAATACATATAACATACCAAATACGTGTTAACTGACTGTTTATTATTTTATCAGTAAGGCTTATGGTCAGTAGTAGGCTACTGGTAGTTAAGTTTCTGGGAGTCAAAAGTTATATCTCCTAGCACTCTGGGAGGTGGAGGCAGGCGGATAGCTTGAGGTCAGGAGCTCGAAACCAGCCTGAGCAAGAGCGAGACTCTGTCTCTACTAAAAACTAGAAACAAAATTGGCCAACTAAAAATATACAGAAAAAATTAGTCAGGCATGTAGTCCCAGCTACTCGAGAGACTGAGGCAGAAGGATCGCTTGAGCCCAGGAGTTTGAGGTTGCTGTGAGCTAGGCTGACACCACGGCACTCTATCTAGCCTGGGCAACAAAGCGAGACTCTGTCTCAAAAAAAAAAAAGAGTTGAGTGTTCTGATGTCTGTAACTTCCTTTTAAATGCATAAAAAAAAAGTTATATGTGGGTCTGACTGTGTAGGGGGTCAATGTCTCTAGCCTTCTCATTGTTCAAGGATCAATCGTGTATTTTTTCTAAAACCATGACTATTTTCAGCCTGTAGGTAGGGACTAGAGAGAATAGGCTGGTAGCCCCCAACCTTGAACACTGGGGCCATTCTACTGAAATAAAAAGAAGTCTGGGTCCTACCCCCAGAAGCTGAGTCAGTAGATCAAGGGTGGGGCCAAGAAATCTGTATTTTTATTCAACTACGTTGCTATCCTCTCTCAGGTGGGCAGCAGATACCCAGTGGCTCAAGCCTATAATCCTTAGCACTCTGGGAGGCTGAGGTGGGAAGATCGCTCGAGGTCAGGAGTTCAAAACTAGCCTGAGCAAGAGACCCCATCTCTACTATAAATAGAAACAAATTAATTGGCCAACTAAAAATATACAGAAAAAATTAGTCAGGCATGTAGTCCCAGCTACTCAGGAGGCTGAGGCAGAAGGATTGCTTGAGCCCAGGACTTTGAGATTGCTGTGAGCTAGGCTGATGCCATGGCACTCTAGCACAGGCAACAGAGTGAGACTTTGTTTCAAAAAAAAAAAAAAAAAATCAACTCAGAGATATTCTCTGCGTGTACTAAAATCTCGTCCCATGTGGCTACAACACCACTTCTTTTGAAAGAAGCCTTCGCTTCCCACGTCCTGAACTAAGCCTTCCATACAACTGCTTTTTGGACTTACATGAGGGTTCCTTTAATTTTCAGACCAATTTTCTTGGTCCGGTGGATTTCACAGCAACCCTACTTCTCTCACAAGCACCTGAGCTTCTTCCCCACTCCCCCAGGTACCTGATGGAAGCAGTCCGGGGCCTGTGCTCACGGGAATCCATCACCCAGCCTACATGGCTCTCCAAGGGTGGATTCGAACTGTGTCTTGTCTTCCTTTTTCGAGGCATCTGCAAAGGTCAGTCCAGAATTTATTACTATTTGTTTGTACTCCTATAACTCTGAGGAGCATTAAGCACTCACAGGACTAAGATTGCCCTCGTATGTGCGTGGTATCTCACATTTTACAACAGCACTTGCACATCTCATATCTATTTTCTCACAGAATGTTCTCAGCTGTGAGCTAGGAACTGGCATGCCTATTTCACAGGTAAAGAAATTGAGGCTTGGGAGTAAAGCGATTTGCCTAGGAACTCACACTTGGTCAGTCCTCGTTAGGCCTTTTCATGGCTACATGGTGCCACTACTCCCACATTTAGTTTATTCTGCAGATGTGGTCATTCAATCTATGTGAGCCCACCAGCCTAAGAGCACAAAGCAAGCAGGAGATTCAGCACCTCCTTGGCTCAGACAAGGCGAGGGAGAAGCAAAGCACTGGAACGCAGCCCAAGTGGGCCCAAGACTCTTAGCAGCCCAGCAGGAACGCCTCACCTTGGCATCTAGTGTTCGTCCTTCTTTCACCACTGGGTAAAACCGTGACGTCTGGCTTGAGTCTTTGAGCTGTGGTGTCCGGGGCGTGCGGGGGGTCCTGGCATTGCGGTAGTTTGGCGACTCTGGGACAGTGGTGGGTAGAGAGCGGGCGATGGTGGAGGGCTCAGGAGCACCAAACAACTTGTTGGCCAGGGCGTCAGTGGGAACTGCAGAGATAGAAGGGTCAGCATGCAGGGGAAGGCCCCCCAGTCTGAGGGCTCCAGACCGCCCTACCCACACCTGGGTCTCAGGTGTCTGCCCTTCACCTTGCTGGAACCGAGGTGGCCCAGGAGGAACCTCCTGGTTGGGATCCACAGGGGGCTCAGGGGTCAGTGTATCAAACTGCTCCCGGCTGATCATGTTGACTTTCTTGAAGTTCTCGACTTCTTGCTACAGAGGATATGAGATGGGTGGGGAAAAATGTTAGTAAGCAGGCTGTTCTAGCCTGTTTAGGAATCAAGACTGGCAGGAAGTTGGAGAGGGCAGCTCCCACGTCCACATATGCAGAATTCTAGTCCCCAGGCTCTAAGCTGCCCCATCACCATTCCTCAACCAGTCACATTGGCATGAATGTGCTAATCCAGAAGAGGACAGTACTTGCCCCACCCTTCCTACCATAAGACTGAGATCAGGCTGAATAGCTCCCCAGGACTCACTACAAGACTCCTCTGAAAGCTCCAGTGCCTCCCATCTCTTTCTGCCACTGTTCATCATAGTAGCTGTGCACCTCTCTCCTTACCTCCAGCAGACACAATGCTACTTGTTACACTGGCTCACCAAAGGCTCACCCCCCACCAAACATACCCACTCTGTAAAATCCTACAACAGAGACGATTTGACTGTTTTCCAGGCAGCAGCAATTTTCTAAAGGACCTATCTGTTCTCCATTTCCCACACTCAAGGAAAGATCCTTAAAGGGCTTTTAAACTTTTATATGTGCCTAAATATTGACCAAAGAAAGTGACAATCTAAACCTTACTCTATTCGCCACAAAAGTATCTAGCTAACTGCTATGACATTAATATAGATGCTCAGGTAGGACAATAATCACTCCCGGCCACATGCATGGTTACATATTCACACACCTCCACTCGCTCTTAATGTTCCAGCAAGGTGTTGATCACCACCCCTTTCTCAAACACAAAAATATTGAGGCTCTGGACTAGAGGGACCTGCCCGAAGTCACACAGCTATGAGCCTGCCTCTCCTTCAGATATTACTGGCCTCCTAGGCCCACACTCACTGCTAAGTCCGAGCCTCACCTTGATCTGAGAATACTCAGGTTCAAACTTCTCTGTCCAGAGGTCCTGCTCATAGTAGAAGAGGCCGTCATTAATGACCTTAGCCAGCTCGGCGCTCATCTTGGCACGCGAGGTGTGGTTGCCTGTACGGTCCCCCCCTGGGTGCCGGCGCATATAAGGTGGCGTCTGGGTGACAATGAGGATCTTGTTGACATCCCGGTCATCAATCTCATAGTCAGAGTCCTCATCAGACCAGGCAGTGAAGGTGTTCTTCCTTCCATCCATCTGTTCCATCTCCTCATCAAACAGGAAATCCAGTTCCTCCTGCTCATCCTGATCCTTGGACATGAGCTGCTGGGAGGGCAGCTGCTGTGTCAGAGAGGTCGGATGGGCAAACCTGGGCTCCTCTGACTTCTAAAACAGGGACAGACCAAGAGAGAGGGAATCACCAGGGGTCCTGGGACTGGGCTCTGTAGCTGCCCCACCAGAGGGAGGCTCCACCCCTCAGCATGAGACTGTCACAGCTGGCCCTGGTAATACCAGCAGGTCCATAGGTGTCCTCCTGGGAGCCAGCTTCATAATGAAAGGATGTCCCACAGTAGTCCAGGTTCTTCCACTAACAGATCACATCACAGTCATTCGTGAACAACTTAGATGACAAGTTTTCTAGAGATGGGAACTGTTCTCTCATTTACCTTTATATCCTACATTGCACCTAGCCTGGGAGTGGGCACACAGCAGAAGTTTAACAAGCTGATTCATCCACTTATCCATTGACTCAACATCTCCCAATAACCGGGAACTCCATGAGGAAATGACCATAGTTGCCTTGCTTTCCATTATATACTCAGTGCCTAGACTGGGGCCCAGCCATAGCAGGTGTCTAAATATTTGATGAATGAGCAAATACCCACTAATACTAGATAGATATGAAAGACCTAAAAGCAGAATAATGAGCAAAACAAGGTACCCCTGTACTTGGGGAACTCACAGTTTAGTGGGACAAAAGTTAAGCAACCAGCCAGCCACAATGTGGTATGACAAAGACTGTAAGGAGGATTTGTGGGAGCACATAGGGAGGGGTGCTTAGCCAACTTCGAGATGGCATGGTTAGCTAGGGACGCTTCCTGAAGAAGTAACTAGCAAAGGATGAATTAGTAGGCCAGGTGAATGAAGGCAGGGACAGAGTGTGCTAGGCAGACAGAATAGCATGTCCCAAAGACAAGACAAAACAGTGCCTCCAGCAAGGAGAAAATATTTCAGTGTTGACAAAATGAATTTATCTGAGACTTTGGGGAAAAAGCATTTGTCTACCTCACAGTATTTATCCAAAAGTCAATTCCCTGCTGTGCAAAGAGCTTCCCACATAAACTCCAAACCTATCCCTTTTAAGGTTCAAGATAGGCGAGGTGGGAGTAAGGGCTCTAATTCTGGAATGGGAAACTAAGTCTGCTTCCCATCTTTCCAAAGCTTTCATAATCTATAAGGCCTAGACTAAATCTAAAGTCCTTATCTACTTACTACTTACCTCCTAATGATTCTAGCCCCATCTAACACTTTTCTGAAGGGCTGAAGCTAAAGCAGTGGGGAATTCTGGGTATAAACAGGCAGGGAAGAAGAAGGAGATGAGAGGCAGTCATAGTAGTAAAATAGATAAGGGAGCACAGAATACTACAGACCCAAAGTCCAAGGTCAACTCTCAGGTATCCTCAGAAGCCTCAGCCAAAGAGGTCTCCAAAGTATGGGGTGAGTGTGGGGAGGTGGATGGAGAAAGATTCAGTGCTTGGAAAGGAAGCCATAATTTTAGTTGGGATTAGAACACTAATTAACAGTGGACTCCATCTGTAATACATATATTACTTTACTATTTCCAGAGCTGTCTAACATCCCTTCATCTTAAGATGGGGAAACTGAAGCCCTGAAATATTAAGCAAGCATCTGAAAGACACCTAGCCATCAGTGTAGGAGACCTGGGTTCTAGTCTAGACCGATTCCACATCTGGGCCTTGCATCAGCTCCCTTCCCTCTTCTGCAGTTCTGAGGTGTTTTTTGGTTATTTTTGAGACAGAGTCTCACTCTGTTGCCCAGGCTACAGTGCCATGGCGTCAGCCTAGCTCACAGCAACCTCAAACTCCTGGGCTCAAGCCATCCTCCTGTTTTAGTGAGTAGCTGGGACTATAGGCATGCGCCACCACACTTGGCTAATATACATATACATATATATATGTATATATATTTTTAGTTGTCCAGCTAATTTCTATTTTTTTTTTTTAGTAGAGACAGGGTCTTGCTCTTGCTCAGGCTGGCTGAGGTTCTTCTATATTGAACAGAGAGGATATACTCGGGAGAAAGGAACTGAAAATATAGTCCCAGGAATTTTTATGGGGCAAAAAAACCAGCCAAGAATCAAGAAGCAGGAAACATTGCTGCCAGATGCAATAACATCTCTTCCTATGAAAAATGCTACTCAGGAACTCACATAGTAGTGTACCCTAAAGGGTGGTCCCCACGGAAAATGGAAATAAGCCATGGCAACCTTTCTATAGTCACTGCTGGTGACTTCTACTCACATTATGACCATGAATATCCAGCTTTCCCCTCAGAACCAGAACTCTGAGCCATGAATATCGCCTCTAATCACTCCAGCCCGGGGCCTCACTCACCTTGGGCCGTGCTGGGGAGGGGCGAGGCCTCTTCTTCACTTCAATCCAGTTCTCGGAATCCAGGTCAGGCAGGCTAGCAGACAAGCCCTTGGGCAGCGTCTTTAGGTTGCTGACCTCCTCTGTTTTGGTTGGCACTGGGGTGACGGCACGAGGAGAGCCAGGCGCTGACTCTGAAGGGTAGAAGGGTAAGGTGCTCATCCCTCCAGTCCTCCTCCTGATGTCAGCCCTGAGAAGGACTGCTGGCCAGAGGACAACAAAGAGGCATCCTTATGTCAGTAGGAACATACCTGTCTCCTTCTGATAGTGCTGGCGGGGGACAAACTCGGGGCAGTTGAGAAGCTGCGAGAAATCAGTCTGCGAATAATCCACTATTGGGGGACCAGGAAGAGGCCACTTCTCAGGCTCTTCCCTCCTACGAACTTTCTCATCAACAATCTCCACCACTTTGCTGTCTTTTAGGGCCTGCAGAGAAGAAGGGAGAGACGATTCAGAAGAAAGTCTAGAACAGACTGGATCTTGGAAGATGGTGGACAACTAGGCTCTCACAAGGTTGGGTATGAGTCTAATGCTAGCAGTAGTCTAAGAAAATTGGCACCATCATCCATGATTGGTGGACATGTGAGATGTTCAAATGTATACAAAGTACTAACATGGAAAACATACCTACCCTTTGACCCTGCCAATCTACTTCTAGCAATCTGCCCTAGAGAAGAATACTTACACAAACAGGTGACAGGTAATATAATAGACAAAAGGCCACTCACAGCAACATTCTAATAGGGAAAAACTGGAAACTATCTAACTTGCCATCACACAGGCAATTTAAGTAATTTATGGCATGTCCACTCAATAGAACACTTCTCAGACATTTAAAAACAGCTTTACATGTGCTGAGGTGGAAAGAGCCACAAAATAAATATATTAAGTCAAAAGGGCAGATATAGGTCAGCCTATGTAAAATTCCTTTTTGTGTCTGAATTTTTTTCTTTTTTCTTAACACAGGGTCTTGTGCTGTCATGTGCCCCAGACATGAGGGCAATGGCATCATCATAGCTCATTGCAACCTCAAACTCCCAGGCTTAAGGAATCTTCCTACTTCAACCTCCTGAGTAGCTGAGACTACAGGCACACACCACCATGCCTGGCTCATTTTTCTATTTTTTGTAGAGGCAGGTTCTCACTATGCTGCTCAGGCTTGTCTTGAGTTTGTGGGCTCAAGTGGTCCTCTTGCCTCAGCCTCCCAAAGTGGCTAGGATTACAGGTGTGAGCCACCATGCCCACCCAGCCTTGTGTAAAATCAGAAATACACACAAAGTTTCCTAGGATTCACAGGTAAACTGCTATAGGTATTTATCTTTGGGGAAAAGGGGTGAAAAGTAGAGAGGGAAGCAGAGTTTTCTATTTTAAAAAACCTTTTAAAATCTTTTAAGTGAAAGAGGAGAAAATTTCAACATGTGATAACATACTTTTGGAGAGACTGGGCAAAGAGGCACTTTTGCTCTTGCGAATGCAAAAGGTCCAACCCCTAGCAAGGGAAATGGGCAACATCTAACAGAATTATATATGCATTTGCCCTTTAACTCAGCCATTCTACTTCTAGAAATCTATACCAAGGTTCACTGGCACAAATATGAAAAGATAAATATACAAGGCTATTCACTACAGCACTGATGTGGCTTATATAAAAGACCAGAAACAACCAAAATGTCCATCTACAGGGACAGCAGTTGAAAAACCCATGGAACATCCACACGATGGTGTACTACGCAACAGTAAATAGGAACAAGGAATATCCTTCTATTATATGCCACTATTCTTCAGTTAGTTCCCAGATACATTACATGAAAACAAACAAAAACAGAAACACATGTGTTGTATGTTATCATTTCTCTAAGAGAAAGGATACAAATACATAGACAGGTATTTGCTTTCTTTTTTTTTTTTTTAATGGAAGGATTCAAAAAAGTTTACCTATAGGGAAGAAAAGGTAGAAGTGACAGAATTTTAAGTTAGACATACCATGTTGAGACTTTGGAACCATGTAAATGTTTTACATAAACAAGTAATCATGTTGATAACATTAGGAATTAAGATTTTTGGCATGGGAGAAAGGAATAAAAACAGACAGGGTTAAGATGCCATAATCCTGAATTTTAATAGAAAGTATTAGTGTAATCTCATGATGTAGTTTACCTTTACCAAAAAACCCAAAAAAAAACCAAACCTCTAGAAACAATTACCAACCAAGTAACGATAAGCACCCCTATAACTCAGGCTATGGTACCTAAATACCATTTCCCAAAAGAAAGGAACTAGACTCCCTTTAAAAAGTGGCCAATTCCAGATCTGGGGCAGGAAATGTACAAGATCAACTAGGGTCCCACCGGCCAAAGAAAGGACAATTTGATTCGACATATTAATTGGAATGGACTGAAATAAATGTTTGAATCCATAAGCCTATAAGAACAAATGATACCAAAGCAGCAAAACAAAAAAAGAAAAGAAAACCTTACTGGTCACCTTTAAATGTTATTAGGGATCAACTTTTAATTCTACAAACTGGTTAACAAAAGGAAAAAGATCAAACATTTATCAGTTGTTCTTACACAAACTATACCTCTCAGTAACTGAATAGCTGATGAGGCAGTTACTCCTCAAAGAGGTATTCTAGCTAATAAATGAAGATTACCTTCATGTTGACTGATGAGGAACCAAAAAAAGTAAATAAACAAAATTAAAAAAATTGAAGACTAATAGGATTAAAGTATCACCATTTTGCAATCCTTAAATGAAATAATAGGCCACAACCACTAATGGCAGCTTATATCACAAAAGAAATAATCACATGAAACATTATGTGACACCTTTAGAGAGAACACATCATATCTATAAAGTATGCTTGACAAAGGGGGAAAAAACTCCCAAAACCCATCAGGCCTCTAGATTACCAATTTACAAAATATTGGAGTACAGATGAACATGATAAATGACACCACTGTGTTCTGAGGGAAATTCTACAGAAAATCTAACCTAGTTTATTCAAATATTAAACAGTAAGGAAAAGAAAGAGAGAAAGGAAGAGACTTCAGAAGACAACACATAGGTCTCACCTGAATTCTGATTCTCACAAATTATGAAAAAATTCTTTTTGACAATTGAGGCAAATTTGAAACTGACTACATATTTGGTGATAGTAAAAAAACTGTTAATATTTTCAGATGTGATGATGATACTGTGGTCATGTTTTTTAATAAGTCTACCTCTCAGAGATATGTACTAAAACATCTGTGGACAAAAATGACAGGTTATCTAGGATTTTCTTCAGAGTAATATGAGAGAGGAAACAGATGAGGACGGAGTAAGACTGACCAAGAATTAATACCTGTTGAAGCTGGTGATGGGTTTATTATACTGTCCTGTCAACTTTTGTCAATGTCTAACATTTTCCATAATGAGAGAAAAAGAAAGAGAAAGAGGCAGGGAGTAGGGAGAGAGGGGAAGAGGCCAGCCAAGCCTTGAGACTAACAGAATTAATCAGATGAAGACTCTTCCAGGGCTTTCTGCCTTGGCCCAAAACCCCAGCTCTGTAGGTAAGGACCTTTCTTTCCCCCACACCCCAGCCCCAGGGAGGAAGACATACCGCAAAGATGAGTGAAATGTCAGTGGTAAGGGCCTGCACTCGGTGGAAGGAAGCAATAAGGGTGATGGGTAGGAAACCATCAGCATCCATTTTCCGTCGCAGGAAGAAGTCTCGCTCTAAATTGTCCACACTGAAGTAGTATTCGCTAAGCAGGAGGGGAAAAGAGGCATCACCAAGGGATTGCTGCATAATTTATGAATACCATTCCCTGTTCTGCTATATACCCCAGCAAATCTCACACAGCCTCTGCCCTAGCCTATATACAGTGTTAAAGGATGAACACAAATGATGTTATTCCCACCTTGCTTACATCAAATCACCCCTTTTGCCCTTCAGCTCCTTTGCGTGCCTGACAAACTCTTTATCCTCCTTATTTAATACCCAGTTCAAATACTGTAGGTCACTTTCACATCTGCTCCTAAAACACAACACTCTACTGAAATTATCTATTTCCTTGTATGGCTCCCCCACTGGTCTGTGAGACAATATACCAGAGTGGTTAAGAGCAAAGATTTTGCAATCAGATGGAAATGGATTTATTTATTTGTTTGTTTGTTTATTTATTTATTTTTGAGACAGAGTCTCACTTTGTTGCCCAGGCTAGAATGAATGCCGTGGCATCAGCCTAGCTCATTGCAACCTCACACTCCTGGGCTCAAGCAATCCTACTGCCTCAGCCTCCCGAGTAGCTGGGACTACAGGCATGCGCCACCATGCCCAGCTAATTTTTTCTATTTATAATAGAGACGGGTCTCACTCTTGCTCAGGCTGGTTTCGAACTCCCAACCTTGAGCAATCTGCCCACCTCAGCCTCCCAGAGAGCTAGGATTACAGGTGTGAGCCACCTCACCCGGCCGGAAATGAATTTAAATCCACGTTCTGCTACCTATTAGCTTATGAGACTCTATGCAAGTAACTGGGCCTATCTGCTTGTCTTTAAAATGGGGATTAAAGACCCAACTCAGAAATTCGGCAAATAAAAATTACAGGATTAAATTAATATAATGCCAGTAAAGCACTTAACACTGAGCCTGGCCAACCAGGGGTGGGGAACCTGTGGCCATAGGGCTACAATGTGGCCATCTAGGTCATTAAGTGCGGCCTTTTGACTGAATCCAAATTTTACAGAACAAATCCTTTTATTAAAAGGTATACAGCAGAGAAAGATAAAGCTTCTATTGCCTGCTTTAGTACTTAAAAAAGAACAATCCTGAAATCAGAGGCTGCAGGTTCCCCAGCCCTGCGAGATTTCTTAAGGTAAATATGGTATTACTTCTATAATACACAACTTTATGAAAAGTTAGCTTAAAGGACAAGAGAAAAGCTATCTTTCACAGCTCCAGCCAGAGGCTACAGCTGCTGCTAGCACCAGAAGGGCATGCGTCCAGTCCTCCTCTGCCCGGCTGTGACCTTTTGGCAACCCCTAACCTCACTTATCTCCCAGGAAGAAGGCTCCGTGCACTCACATCTGGCGCTTGATGTAGTCTTTGAGCAGCTCCTGGTCCACGCTGTAAAGCTCAGTGCTGCTGACATTGTCAAAGTAGTAGGTGATGTTGTTCATGTACTTGGGGGTGCGAGGCCCCTCTGCACCGTCAAACTTTCGGTAGCCAAACTGGTAGTCAAAATGGGCTACGGGGGAAACGGGTGTCATGAGGGAGAGCAGATACCTGCCCGCCACCCCCGCCGCACTCCCTTGGACATCCCGGAGCCCAAAGGGGCCTCACGTACTTCGAGTGCCACCCCGGCCGCGTCCCCGGCCGCGACCACGCCCCCGTCCACGGCCACGGAAGGAAGCCCGCGCCCCACCAGCCCCATCACTCTTCACACTCGATGTCTCATCCTGGTCATGCCAGGCAGGCTCCGGTTTGGTCTCTGGTTGCCAGGCTGGGGTGGGGGGGGCCACGGGCACGGAAACGTAGGTGGCAGGCTCAGACCCTATGGGGAGAGGGGGCACTGGGTCAAGCCTGAGGGTGACCCCATGTCCAGGCCCTCCATAGTGGGTAGAACATACCTTTGATCTCCCCGCGGTTGGCAGGTATATGTCTCGGCTCCTGCGGGCGAGTAGGGCGTGAGGCCAGTTTCTCTCTGGGTACTTCAGGCTTCATGTCTATTTGCAATGGAACCCACTTGTGTTTGTTCCCTGGGAGATAGCATGGACATGTGACAAAGGTTTGAGGGGAAACACCCCTCCCACCCAGCCCTACTCAATCCTTCACCTGCCCTGCGCTTAGGCCTAAATCACAACCTGGTGACCCTGGGCAAATCCCTTTCCTACACACCGGACCTCTTTTCCATCTCTAAAATAAGGAGGCCAGGTCAGATACAATGGCACATGCCTGTAATCCCAGCAGTTTGGGAAGCCAAGGTGGGAGGATCACTTGAGGCCAGAAGTTTGAGACCAGCCTGAGCAACATAGATAGTAAGACTATAGTAAGACTATCTCTCTATATAAAAAACATTTTTTAGTAAAGTTAAAATAAAATAAGGCCAATGTTCCTTGGTGGAGACACCTTTTTAACTTCCAATATTGATTTCTGCAAGGTTAGAGAATCCTCTTCTGGAATCAGACATATACAGCTGCCCAGAATAAAGACTATACTTTCCAGACTCCCTATAGACATGTGCAAAAGTATCTATGAGAACTGAGTTAAAGTACCCAACTCCAGGTTGAGTCTCTAAAAGGAAAGAAGCTATCCTTCCCCTTTTCCCTTTCTGCTAGCTGGATGAGTCAATGTACCACAGCAAGATTAAAGGAATTAAAGAGTTGCCATACTAGGCCTGGCCTATTTACACTAAACTGTTATGTAAGAGAAAACTTTTATCTTGTTTAAACCGCTGTTACTTTGGACCTCTATTAGAGCAGCCAAACCTGGACCCTACCAATTCAGCAGGTTTTTGGAAACTTTTATCGTTAAGAGGAGGACCGAGGGTTGAAGAAAGGATTGCTGCCCCAGTGGCCTATATCAGTCTCCCAATGACTTGGGGGGGGGGGGCAGATGAGATTCCCCCAGTAACCCCCAAAGGTCTGATATTTCATGGCTCTGTCCTGCCCCCTTCTCCCAAGTTCTGCTCCCAGCCACTCACCTTTCTTTTTCTGCCCGCTTCGCTGGCAGTCCTCGTCCCCATTCTTCTCCTCCCCTGATTCATCCGATTTGGTTTTTGGGCTTTCCTTACTATCGCACCCCTCTCCTTTCTCCTGTTCCTTCATGTCCTTCTTGGGTGGCAGCTTACGAGTAGGCTGAGGCTTGTGAGACTGGGGCTGTAGCGGGAAGTAACAGGGAAGTGAAGTGAGTGTGAGAGCCCCATGGTATGAGAAGAAGGGCACTTCCTGTCACCAGAAAAGACAAGCAGAAGGAGCTACCGTATGCAACAGCAGGCTGAAACAGATGCACTCTAAGGTTCTGCTTTCATACGTGAGATGCATTCACTGGGAAGTACAATCTAACAGGCCAGGAGGCAGAAGAAACAACTTGTCTCTCCAGCTTCCAAGCCTAAATGACAGAGACAACCCCCAAGACAGGGGTGCTGGGGCCCACAAAGGTCAAGTGTTTATTCCCTGTAGCAGGGCTGTGTTGTCTAAGTAGTCTGTGGAATAAAGAGATGCTGGCCCCTGGCCTGTCAAAAACGAACCTATGAAGTGAAGGTGGCCATAGCTGGGAATAAGGGATCCAGGCCACAGGCCCAGAACAAAAGTGCTGGAAAGGAGAGAACTGACCAGAATTCTCCCCCTTTGCTAGGGTTCAGGAGAGCTATATAAGGTTCCCCAACACATATGGTCTGGAGGTCAGTATTTGCCCTAATGACCACTTTCTTGTTTCATAAACAGAAAACCCAAGTTTAATGATGTGGAACACAGACTTTGGAATAATACAACACATCTGACTTCTAATCCCCACTTTGCCATCAAGGGCTGGTAATTAACCTCTCCAAGTCTCAGCAACCTCATCTGTAAAATGGGAAATATAAAAGAAGAACCTAACTCAGAGTCACTGTGAGGGATAGATAAGATGATGAATAGACCATAGAGTTGACCCTTGAACACCACCAAGGGTTTGAACTGCATGGGTCCGCTTATACATGGATTTTCTCTTTCAACCAAATGTGGGTCAAAAAGACCCACAAAATGTGGCATGCAAAACCAGCATATATAGAGGGCGAAGTTATTATACTCTGGTTCCGCAGGGCTGACTGCAGGACATGAGTATGCGAGGATTCTAGTATGCACAGGGGTCCTGGAACCAACTGCTCAAGTATACCGAGGGGCCACTGTACATGGCAGTTCCTGACACAAAGCAAAGGCTCAAACGATAACAACTCTTAGCTATTTCAATGTTGTCCATTTTATATTAACTAATCCATTTTAAAAACTGACAAAGGTTAAGACCTGAGACTCTGAAAGCTTGAGAACCCAAAATGTCTTTTTTAGATGAGAGCTCAAACCTGCCCATCCCTCCCCACAGACTCACCTGCACACTCTTGTGGGCTATCTCTCCAGGTGTGGGCCAGTTGATTGCGTCTCCAAAGTCACCAACCTGCAAAGCACATTCTATGAGGGGTCCCCGGGGTGGGGGCAGATACCTGTCTCTGCCACTCAGCCCCTCACTAAAGGTCTAGCTCTATTAAGGGATCAGAGGCCCAATCAGTCTGTCCACTCGGACCATCCACACTAGAGGCCCTGAAGGGGGCTCCCATGCTATTCAGAAAGGATCCAGAACTACCTGGCAGTCCAGAAGCACTCACTAGAACAGGAAAAAGGCCACCACTTCCAGGAAGTCCCCTTGGGTTGCCCACTCCTATTACTTACCTTGCTGCCTTTGCGCTGTTTAGGAACAGCTGCCCTCACCACCTTGGCCGGAGCAGAATGTTCTGTGGGAACAAAAAGGGAGAGATGGTTATGCAGAGATTACATGAGGGGGCCACTACCAGCTCTTCACCCTCATTACCATCCCCATCTCACCAAGTGACCTGCTGGTTCTCACAGAAGGAAGAAATAGTGGAGGGGAGAAAGACACCAGTAACAATTTTACCAGCCTCTTCCTGAAGAAATCATGGCAAGTGAGATCATGCAGATAGCTGGCAGCCAAAACCCCAGGAACTGAGACCCTGAGGTGAGAGGGCCCTTACAGAGTATAGCTCTACACCCTCTTGTAAAATAGGGACTGAGGCCTAGAGAGGGAAGTCCATGCCAGAGGTAGCACTATAATTTAGTGCTCTTGAATCATGGCAGATTTCATAAAGGAAAGGCGTGAAAGATCATTTCTGGCCCTAACATTCTAGAAGTCTGTGTGTGCACAGACCAGGGCTAGTGATCATTGGAAAAGCAAGATTAAAAACCCTAAGTAGGCAATCAAGAATTCCAGGGACTACACCAGGGCCAGCCACTCAGGAAAGATTTTTGTCTGCTTCCTCAGTATCCAAAGAAAAGGTGGGCTCCCACTTGACTTAGCAGTTCCACCTTTCGTAACTGATCCTAATGATACAAATTAAACAAAGGTTATGTACAAAGATGTCCATCAAAATGCTATTTATAACTTCAAAAAACTGAAGACAACCTACATGTCCAAAAGTAGGCAACTAGCTGAATAAGGTTCATCCATTTTTAGAATACTCATTAAAAAGATAAACGATCTCTACTGATACAAAAAAATGGATACAATAAATGAGAAAAGCCACAAAACAATCCATTTTTGTAAAAAAAAAAAAAGTGTACATGCACACATACTGTATGTGTACAAACTCTAGAAGAATATATGAGTATTATCAGGAGTTAAGCACTATAATTACAGAGATTAAATTTTTCGACAAAGACAGATTTTTTTTAAGGAAGTGGTTCTAGTAGGTCCAGTCCCTTCTATACCCACATTTGTTTTCCCAACACAGTTCTGAAGGGTTTCTGCCTCTTCCTCCCCCAAAGACCCACAGGAAAGACACATCCTGAGGCTCTGCTCACCCACACTTCTCTCCCATCTCTTTGCCTCCACTGTTGGCCAGCCATGCCAGGGTAAGAGCTGCCCCCAGTCCCTGAGCAGAGAAATTTGCCTAGCTGGTCTTGAAAGGAATGTTCTACTCCTTGATCAGACTCATGTTATCCTTAATGAGTAGACAGTGTCCTTGCCTGATTCCTAGCTGTGAGGCCACTGTATTCCTGGTTTCCACCCCCTACCGGAGCCACTGCCCCCTCAAGACACCCCACATACCTTCTGAGAGCTGCAGCGGTGCAACTCAGCCCACAGCATCCCCCACTCCCAATGCTGGGCAGTCGTGAACCAGACAATCTCAGTCCCAAGAGGAAGGAGAACCTAGGCCCAGGGAGCTACTCTGCACCCACTCTCCTGTGACTCCTGGGTTGGCCCTAACACCATCTACTTCCTTGACAAGCCTAAAGATCTTCACCTGCTTCAAACCAGGACCACGTTTGTATACACCTGAGCTATGGCTAGTAATCACTTCTCCCAATACCCAAAGACCACACACAATACCAGAAGAACAGACTAAAAGGCCCGCAACACCAAGTTCATTAACAGTATGTTAGAAAGCGGAACGAGGTTCAGAAGGCAAGGATTTTCCTTAAAAAAGCGAAGCAAAGTTTTCCAGGTCTTGTTTGATCACAAAGGGACATAGTAAAGAACTGAGAATTTAGTCTTCAATGTGAGAGTCCTCCTGCCATGAAGATTCCCTACTCTAGTAGTGATCCCAAGCTGATGAGGGGAATTGGATAGTCTAGGCATACATAAGAATATTCTTTATTTATTTTTTAATTAAATTTATTTATTTTATTTTTTTATTCAAAATAATATTATATTTCTTTTATTCTTTATTTCAGACATACTATTAAGGTAAGCCATGGATGAATATTCTTTAATTAGTCCTGTGCAGAGTGTAAGTTTGTTGAAAAAGCCCTATCTCTAGGTTCCGTTGTCCAGAAGACTCATGGTGCCCTGGTTCTTGCTCTGCTCCCAGCTAGGGCTTCAGGTTGTCCCTGACAAGGAGAACCCAGAGAGGCAGAAAAACCCACTGGGGAGGGAGAACCACTTCTGCCTTTATGTAAAATTCACAGATCTGTTAAAAATCATTTTGAGCCTCAGGGAAATCCAGGAAGGCTTAGATGAGCTGCTGCCAGGCCCTGCAAGAGGCTGAAAAGAAAACTAGGATTTCTGACTTGACTTCAATTACATACCCCTTTCTGGGTCCCCCTCCCAGGTAACTGCCACTGGGCTCGCAAACATATGCACACACAGAATATATATATAGGTCCAGGTGGGCCTGGCATCTGAAATGACTCCCCCCATGAAAACCAATCCTTTACACAGGCACCAGTCCCCACATCCAGCACCATTCCAGCCAAATTTAGGGGACAATCTTCATCCTTTTACCCCTACATTCTGAAACCACCTGCCACCACTGACCCCAAAGCCTAGCTCAAGAAACACCATCATTCACTTGCCCAAGAAAACAACTGTAGAATGTTAGAACAGCAAAAACAACCCTTATCCCCTCTATTTGTAGATAGGGAACTGAGGCCATGAGAGGAGAAGGGGCTTCCTCAGGACTAGCTGCAGAACCAGGATGGGAGCTAAAAGTCTCGACTCCCTTTGCCAATGCTCTTAATCAGCTCAGAAATTTCTTGGGGCCCAGTGGTTCCCATGTCTCTCCACTGGTAGAGAATGGGTCAGAACCTTCTTGATATAATCTCAGAGCATTTCTCTAATTTTTTCTAAAGAAAAATAGAGTTACTGATGACAGGGAGTAGTTCTCAGAGAAAGAGAGGGAGGTGGAAGCATGAAGAGGCAGGGCCCAGATGGCTGTGTGTCCACAGGTCTCTGGGGCCCAGGATTCCTTAGGGGAGGATAGCAGAGAGAGGCCCTAATAGGGTGTTCCTTCTTAACTAAGGGGCTAACAGGTATCTAGAAGAGGAAGAAAACCACTTTTTGTCCCACAGGACCATTATCAGCCAAGAGCCAGTACTGACTCTAGTTCTAGGAGGTCAAAGGGCCTCCTAAACACACACACACGCATTCGTTAAAAGTGAAACACATCAAAATTTCTATATATAAGAAGCAATCTGAATTTGGTGGTGATGAGGGCACTAGGGGACTTTTCCTGAAACTGTATCTGCTTGGCAAACTCACTATTTTTATTTAGATTACTTAAGATTATTTCAAGAGACAAGGAGTAGAGAGCTAAACCACCACTGTTGATGAAGGATGAAAGGAAATGAGGGATGCAAGGTAGGTGCTGAGGGGTGGTAGGACAGAAAGGAATTACTGTAATAACTGGGATGGTGGGAGCAGGGATGGCAGCCCCCTGTCAAGTGAAGTGGGTGATGACCTCACAACCTTGACTAATGCCCTGAGAGTCTGTCTCTCTGAGCCTCAACTTTCCAGTGTACAATACCCCTTCATTTGAATACCACCTACGGAAGAAAGCTGGGCAGCCCCATCGCTAAGCACGGGGGCTTAGTTATCTGATGGATTTGGGCTGGAGTTGGTAGGTAGGGTTGGAGTCCCTACCTACTCTGCTCCTTTCAGAGCCCCTTTGAAAGTCAGCGTCCTCTGTAAAAGTGAAGTCACAGTTATCTCATAGGGCTGATGGAACCCATTAAATGACCAAAATGTGGTAAGAGTGCGTAGCACATGGTAAATGCTTTGTATTGCAAATCAAATTTACAGAGGAAAATTAAAAGCAATCCTCATCCCTCCCCTTGGAGACAGAGATGGGGGTGGGGAGACACACCAAATAATCTCTCAACATGAAAAAGAATCAGAGTGTATGGAAAAGCTCTTGGAGATCAAATGACTCAATTCACTCAATCTAGATTGCAAATGAGGCCCTCTCCCCAGCCTGGCTTATTCCCGGCAATGACCCACAGGGCACAACTGCCTTCCAGAGACAGGCTGCGTCTGGGCTCCAGAGGAAGTTGCCCCAGGTAAGAGGAAAGAAAAGCTTCAGAACTTTACAGTCTTAAATGGGGGAAAGAAAGATGGGGGAATTTACTACAGATCCCCCAGCAGTGGTTTTGGCATAAAGCCCTGCCTTGTTAGAGAGGAAGACAAGGGTGAAGGCCTGGGGTTCTTTTTCAGTTGAAGAAACTGTGTCATTCCATTTTTTACCCTGCCCAGAAAAGGAGGAGAGCCCAGGCCTCAACAAAGTCTCTCCCAGGCCAGGCTTGGCTCACACTTGTAATCCTAGCAGTCTGGGAGGGTAAGAGGGAGAATCACTTGAGACCAGCCAGCGCAAGCGCGAGAACTTTTACTCTCTACTAAAAATAGAAAAAAAATCAGTTGGGCATGGTGGCCCATGCCTGCAGTCTCAGCTACTTGGGAGGCTGAGGCAGGAGGATCACTTGAGATCAGGAGTTTGAGGTTGCACTGAACTATGATGACACCATTGTACTCTAGCCTGGGGGACAGAGCGAGACCATGCCTCAAAAAAAAAAAAAAAAAAAAAAAAGTCTCTCCCAGCTTACCAAAGGTGCTAAACTAATAAAATCCTGGTACAAACCCAGATAAAAAGATTAAGAAGTATTTCCTATATTGTCTCCTTCCAGAAATATCCCAAGGCTGCTGACCTTTTGAAACAAAAGCTACCCAGCAGGGCTAGATTTTAGGAGGTCTAGGACACAAAGACTTGGTTCAACCAAGGAGAAACTAATGAAGGCTTTTAGAGGACAAGTCACACAGGTGATTCAAATTCATCAGGTCGTGGAAAAAAGAACTGGTAAGAGAAAGGGAGAAGCTGGAATTAAAACTGAAGGACTAGTGTGGGTGAAAGGTGACCTGAGGATGGCTAGTTGGGAGAAAGCCTGTAGGATTGAGAGTGGGTAGCCAGAGAGGACTAACAGATTTCAGGCCCAAAATCTGCCAGAA